AACAGGTCACTAACCCCATCGGCCTCTGGGGCTGGTGGCTGCGGGACATTCACATTGTCCGAGGCTTTGCTCCTCGCGGGCAGGGGCTGCTGGTCAGCAGGGGACAGGAGCAACTGGGTCTCAGGAGAGTGGGGTGTGTTGCTGGGCTCATACTGCATGGGGCTCTGGGCATGCTGTGATCTCTGGAAAATAGCTGGGAATTCCCACCTAAGCTGAAGCTGCCTCTCCAGCAAGTTCCACTCCAAGGCTTCATACTCGGCCGGAGTCAGAAATGGGAGATTGATCTGTATTTGTTGATGGTCAGGAGGAGAGACCCAATTTGGGGTAGGTAAGGAAGAAAGTGGAGTTGACCTGGGTGGATTGTTAGGCAGTAGGTGGAGGAACGAGGGCCCTTTGAAGAGAAAAGGAACATTCGAGGGTAATTGGGGCGTGCGCCTGTTCGTGGAAAGGCCTTGAAAGTGAATGTAAGTTACAGCCAGGGACTCAGTGGTTAGACACGAGAAGCTACAGAATAGCTGGCTGTGCTTCTGCTTCAGATGATTACCTGAGTCTTCAGCCTGTCCCCCAGGTTGTGGATACAGGCCATTTAGGACTTTAAGGGCTGGAGAGGGCAAGGCCAGAGCCAGAGAGTTTGGAGTTTTCTGGCAGTGGCAGCTTTGTTCTTGGTCCATAATAGACCATTTAGTAACCCAGAAGGCCTGAGTAGTCTGGTAGAGCACACATGAACCCCAGGTCTTGTGGGAAATGGTTTCAATTGTTACAACACATGCATTGAAAGTATCATACATGATGAAAGGAACTGGTTGGCTGTTTCCAGGCCAGTAAAAGAATGGTGAGTCTGGCATAAGCTGCCTCAGAGACTCTTCCACACATCTGGGGAGTCCCCACCTCTGGAAACGCATCCATTTTTTTACATGAACCTCAAGAAGCCTGAGAACTTCAGGACTGAGGAATGGAAGATGAGCAGGGAAGATAGTGACCATATGCAAGGCCATAGCATGTGTCAGATTAGTGACCTCTGTGCTGAGGAACAGCAGAGAGACCTGGGATCTCAAGGGCTGAAGGCTTTGGTTCTCATGAAAAAGACTGTGGTTGCTATATATCATCTCTTGCTTGTTCACAGAAACTTCAGTCTCATCAAGCCTTGAAGAAGACCTAGTCCCCGAGTCCCTGGGCACGTCTGGCAGTTGAAATCCCTTCCCTAGCTGCAGGTGTTCATCCCAGTAATCTTGGATGCTGACCACAACGGTTGATAGGGCAGCCATCTGGGTTAAGGATTTCTGAGCTGCTGATTGTAACAGTGTGGAGGTTACAGATGCCAGTAAAAGCTCTCGGGAGTTCTTGGAACCCAGTTGCAGATTCTGCTTAGAGACTCCAGACATGAACAAAATCTCTAGGCAAGCGGAACGTGGTGATATCCCTGCTGAAGTGGGGGTGATCAAGGTATTTTTACCTGTCAGCAATCGCTGAATGTCCAGAGCCATGTCATTGGAGATATGGCAGCAGGGGTCTGCACACAGGAGCTGCAACACACTTCCCTCCTGAGAAAGCCAGCCCTGGCTGGAAAGGGAAGCATGGCAACCGTTACTGATGCAGTATCATCTGCCTCCTTGGAAAAGTGTGGTCTAGGGGATTGGCCCTGCCTTCCCCTAGCCCTGTAAGCCCTGGGCCTCCCCCTAGGAATCTACCACTTTGCTTGTTAGGCCTGGCTGAGCTGAGGGTCTTGGTCTTGTCAGGGAAGGTCTCAGACAACTGCTGGGTAGGCAGGGCCCTCAGAGAGAACTGGCAGGTGGGGCCAGTTCTCTGCTGAACTGTGTTGAGAAGCTGAACTAGAAGGGAACCAGGCAGGTGAGGATGTCAGGTGGTTAGCAGAATGGCCATCACCAGGCACATCACCAGGTATAACCTGGAGTCAGTCTCATTTGGGGCTTTGAAAGCAATGTCTGTTATCCATACTGTGTGGATAATGACATCCTTGTGGAAACACTATTCTAGGGACTGTGGATTGTCCCCAGTGCTATATACAGCATCTCTTGGGTACTAGTCCTGTTCTCCGCAGATCTTATTAAGAGGATAAGATGATAGACTTCTGTCTGAAGACTGTCCCAGTGAGTGACCTCCCTATGTTTCAAGGCCAAGCCAGACTCAGTGGAGTCAGCCTTTGAAAGGATGTAGCTGCAAAAGGAATATGACAATGGTGACTTATTTATGCAAAATCCAGACTCTAGACTGGATTACTTGTCTCCTTGCTGAGTTCACTTCATGTAGAGTCTTTTGTAAATTACATACTAGTCAAATCTAAAGTCCAGTAGTAATGTGACTCTAGTACAGAGTGGATTGGGAGACTATTCTCTCCTGCGATGTCTGGTCACCTCTGTCCTGGCAACAATCCCCACCAGTGAACCAGCCTCTCTCGTGTATGGCTCCCTCCCATACATTATTTCTCTCCTCATCCTTGTCCCTGGCCAAACTGAGAAATCATCACAGGCCAGGCTGGGACTTGGGAGACAATGAAGAACAGAGAGCAAGAGGTCACCTTTTCATGACAGAGAGCTGTCCTTGGAGCTTCTTAGCTTCTTCCTTAGAAGGTCTCCTAGCTGAAAAACCAGGAAAGAGTGTTACATGGGCAGGAGAGGGTCAGGGAATTCTATAGGAAGCTGAGTAGTGAGGCCTTTGACTCTTAGTAAAGGAGACTAAAGGCTCCAAGAGTCATGCTCTAAGGCATGTCTGTGTATAACTTAAACATTTACACTGTTATTATCTCATTCCTAATCTCATTGGATGTTCACAGTCACAGTGTGAGTGAGGCAGGATCATCAGTGTTATGCCCATTTTATGGATAATAAGACTGAGACATAGAGTGACTTCTACAGTATCATAAAAACTAGTAAATAAGACAGTTAGGGACTTATGTCCTATTTCCTCATTTCTTCATTCCCAGCAGGGTAAGGCAGAGAAATTTGGACATTCCCAGGCTCTGATTTCCCATCCAAGGAAGTTTCTGTGAGAAAATGTCAATTTGGGGAACTTCAGCCTTCAGTGGTTAGAGCACCTGACTCCTAGCACCAAGGGTTAGGTTTAGTATCCATGGGAATCTCGCCCACAGTGAAGGGGAATCAGAGTAGAGAGTGGGACTTTACCTCTTGATGCTCCATCTCTAGCCGTTTGGCTGACTCTTAGGTGTTGCTTAAAGACAAAAAAAGTTAGAATGTGAAGCTTTGACACAAATTTCTTTTCATGTCCAAAATGAGACAAAACCTATAACCATTTTCCAGTCCATTTTGTATATCTTTCTATATTTTATACTTTCTCCTACATTTCCTTTCCCTAGTCCCCCTTTTTTACCCAAAAATTTCCCTTATCTGCTTATGGAACTCATTTCTAGGCTCTTCCAGATTCCATGCTTTATACACCATTTCTAGGAGAAGTTCTTTGGGGGGCTTAGGATGACACAGGAGGAAGAGTGGAATAGATTCAAGGCTAAATGGTTCCAGTAGCCAAAGGCTTCAGCTTACAAAGGCCTTAAAGAACCACCAACAAGAAAAATTACCCAAACTGGGAGGTCCAGTAAGGTAGACTTCATATTTTTGAGGCCTCAACCCAAGTCAGATAATATCCTTGGTTTTCAATTACAGCATATTGCAGGGAGGGCTGGTAAGGAATTGTTCTAGGCTCTAAGAAGGAAATGACTGTACAAGCAAAACTGAAGGTTTGGTATTAAAAAAATTTTGGGGCAGGGGGGATAGAGAAACTAGGGGTTTAAAAGCTTTTTGTCTGAGACTTAACAGTTCAGTAGTGTTCAGTGTCTCCCTACCTGATAATTGTTCCTGTTAGGTTCCAGCCTGAATCCATGGTATTTCTTTTTCAATTGCCAAGTATTTATTATAACACAGAAAATAGAGCCATAAGTATATAAGGGATATCCAGCATGCCATAGAACAAAAGGAGGGCTCAACATGGTCTTGCCTCATTAGCATGAGGAGACCAGTCATCCCTCTATCTAGGCGTCCAGGATACTGGTACCTAATGATTCCCAGTGCTAAGCTTTGTCATCTCTACCTCACAGTCATTGACCGCATCACAAAGCCCTCCTATGTCACAAGGCAGGTGGGGTGTCAAAGGCCTGTATCTGTCTTAGGGAAGTTTATGTGGTGATTCAGTCTGTAGATGAGGGTATCTGGTTATCTGTGAGGGTTTCAGAGCCTGCCACTAAAGATGCCATGGCCACAGGCAGTATCTACGCTCCCATTCTCTCTCCACTCTCCATACCCTACAACAGCCTGATGACTCAACTCTCTCTGTTACAGCAGTCTGAAACTCCCCAGAAACTCAGTGTTTAAGCACACAGCGTACCTTATAAGAAAGAGTAGGCAGGACAGAGGAACCTCCACCAACTCCTTCACCTGTATTGGAAACTTACCTGAAAAGTACACAAGAGGCTAGGGCAGGCAGAGTCTGGTTAACACTCGGAAATGGAGAGCTTTTTTTTTTTTTTTTTCACAACACAGTAACTTTCATTCTGTTGGGCTTGCACACATGAAACAAAGAGAAAAATAAGGAAATAAATACAGGAACATATAAATAATAAAATTCTTAATGACCAGAGATTATTATTATATTATTAAGTAAATTTATTTTTAAAAATTGGCGAATGCAGATATACTTTATTTAGGGGGTCACACTTGTTTGTGCTACTCTACTTTTCCAAGTCTGTATTAAAGACTAATTTCTTTTGAATTTTTCTCAAAATAGGCCGAAGGAATGGCTAATACCCATCATAAAGTATGGCTGAATAATGCTCCAAAATAAACATTTGGCCTTTCATCTGATATTAAATATAACTAGACTTAAATGTGGAGCCCTGGTGGCTCAATGGTTAAGAGCTAAGGCTGCTAACCAAAGGGTTGGCAGTTCGAGTCCACCAGCCACGCCTTCAAAATCCCATGGGGAAGTTCTACTCTGTCCTATAGGGTTGCTATGAGTCAGAATCGACTTGATGGCAACAGGATTTTTTTTTTAGACTTACAAACTTATAAAGTAGAAGGTAGTTACTTTAAAAAGTAGTCACTTAAAAAGAAGTTCTTTTGCCTTTCAGTTGAATACAAGACTCTGAGACATGGTACGAGGTGTCTTAGGTTGAACATACTTTTTGAATACATATTCAGTGATTAGTCCCTATTGCTGGGTTCCTTTTCATAGTATTGCTTCTTTCTTTCCCTTACCTTTAATCTAAAATAGGTATGTGAGGAAGGAATCATAGTCTGGCTACTATCATTCTGATTTAGTTATTTCACAAATATTTGTGGGTGCGTACTATATGCCAGACATCGGCCTAGGTGTTAGAGTACATAGCAGTAAACAAAACAGGCAAAAATAAACACCCTACCTTCATAGGTTTACATTATGTCTGCCTTTTTTACCTCATATATTTAAGAGAAATAAATTCCAAGTAATCACGAAATAGTGGCAAAACCAATTGGATTCTAGATAATCTATTACCTCCCCCATTTTATTTGCCCATCAAGGCTATTCAAGTGACAAAGAATTGCAAAGACTCTGGTATGTGATGCCATTTATGATATTGTTTGAAAGACAAAGACTAAGGGAGAGAGTATCAAATAATGTACCCCAAAAGGGGGAGATTATTACATTTGAAGAAAATAATGTACAAACTGGAATCCCTCAAGAAAATCAAACCCAAATTTTCTGAGGTTATCAATTAAGAAAGACCCTTTTCTCAGGAAGCAACATCTGAAACTCAGACCCTTGACTTTTGTTCCCCTAAATAATTCTGACCCTTGAGTGACTTTCTAAATAGAACTACCAACATCATACTTGCTTCAGAGGTACTGTAGTTCCCTTAGCATTTGGAATAAAAGCTAGACTCCAAAGTGTTCATAACACTCTTTGTACCAAAGTAAAGACAGACCAGAGAGACATGGAAATAAAACAGAAATAACTAGATAATCTGGTTTTCAAATCATGGCATGCTGGTCCAGGTGTTCAGAAACCATTCTTACTAGTATTACATACAATGCTTATTTAAATGTTACCAATTCCTTTGCTTACTATGCTTTCTTTCATCTCAACCCTTCCTGATGAGGTCATTTTCCTTCTTCTTCTTCTTCTTTTTTTTTTTGTTTATTGTTGTAGTTTAAGTGAAAGTTTACATTTCAAGTTAGTCTCTTCTACACAAAATTATACATACGTTGTTATATGACCCTAATTGCTCTCCCTATACTGTGGCAGACAGCACACTCCTCCTTTCCACCCCTGATTTCCCGTGTCCATTCAACCAGCTCCTGACCCTCTCTGCCCTCTCATCTCACCTCTGGACAGGAGCTGCCCATTTAGTCTCATGTATCTACTTGAGCTAAGAAGCACACTCTTCACGAGTATCATTTTATGTCCCACAGTCCAGTTCAATCTTTGCCTGAAGAGTTGGCTTCGGAAATTGTTTTAGGTCTGGGCTGATAGAGAATGTGGGTGCCATGCTTTCAGGGGTTCCTCCAGTCACAGTCAGACCATTAAGTCTAGTCTTTTTACTAGAATTTGAGTTCTACACCCCACCTTTCTCCTGCTCCATCAGGACTCTCTGTTGTGGAAACGGAGAGCTTTGATGTTATAAGTAATGGGTGATTGGTAATCAGAGGAGCAGGAAGGGGACCAAGGCTGATGTGACAGAAACAGACCAAGGCAGCAGTATCTTTGAATGACATTGTGGGAACAAGGAGTGGATGCCTCTAGTCTGTGTGAGTAAGAAGAGATTGTAAACACGCCTTCCATGGAGGCACAGGAATGAGCCTTACCTCTGGAGGCCTGTCCACGGCCTGGTTTTTCAGAGCTACCTTTACAGATGTTACAGCCTCTGCCTGCTCAGGGAGATGACTACCTGCAGAGATGGGTTAGTGGCCACTTTCAAATAAGGGCCACAAACTAGTTGCTCATGGCTGGATTTACTCATCTACTCTGGATGTATGCTGTTTGACTGCAGGAGTTTTTTGTTCTGTTTTGTTTTCTTTTAAACCTGGATTTTGGAAACCTTTAGGCAGGGTAGATGTTTTCCAATTCAGTCCAAGGACCCAGCATTCCTACTCTCCACTCTTATTTTACACATTTATGTTACCTGTTTGGCTTCTGTTGATATTGTGATATGTTTCTAACACCTCAGGATTTCTGAGTTTCCTTGAAAAGGTCTTTTGGTGAGAGTGGTCTCATAGCCAAACAATTCTTGGGCTGATAATCTCTGAAAAGGGTATTTGTCCTTCCTCTAGCCTCCAAGTCTTCCACCAGAAGGCATAGTGAACATTTATCTTCAAATGTTAAACCAACCTGCATTTCTGCAATAAATGCTGTTGTGATGGTTAAGGTTGTGTGTCAACTTGGCTAGGCCATGATTCTGAGTGGTTTGGCAGTCGTACGATGTTGTGATCACTTCCATGATGAAATCTGATATAATGTGATCACCTCCGTGATGAGATCTGCTATGAGTAGCCAGTCATTTGAAAGGGAGTTTCCTTGGGCATATGGCCTGCAGCAAATATAAGTGGACAATCTGGCAGGGCTTGTGGGCTTTTGCTCACTCTGGATCCTGCAGCTGGCTCCTGTTCATCTGACCTCTGGTTCTCAGGACTTGAGCTAGCAGCTTACCTGCGGTCTTGCCTGCTGATCTTGGGATTTGTCAGTCTTTGCGGCCTGTGAGCAAGAGCCTTGCTCTCTGTCCTGCCGATCTTGGGTTCATCAGCCCCTGTGGCTGTGTGAATCAGGAGACTCCTCTTTACTGACCCACGGACTTGGGACGTTGCGGCCTCTATAACCGAGTGAGCCATTTCCTTGATATAAATCTCTCTATATATTTATATGCTTTACTGGCATCAAGCTTCTCTAGAGAACTCAGCCTAAGATACCTGTTTAGTCATTAATTTTATTTGCTAAAATTTTGTCAAGAATTTTTGCATCAAGTGTAGGGTTGCATAACCTATTAATGTAATTGCTGTCAAGAAGTTGTACACCTGTTAAAAGTGAAATTGGCAAAAATTGAGTGATGGATATATTTACAACAATAACCAAAAAAGAAAAGCCTGCTGAAGCTGCTCATGTACCGCCAAACACTGCATGGGATTTGGTTCCTTGGTTTGGAGGTTTAGGTCAGGTTTCATGGGACATCTCAGTTAATTGGCCTAATAATATGTTCAGTGCTTCTATTCTACCTCCAAGTTCGTTGCATAGTGCCTGGGATCTTAAAAGCTTGCAGTGAGTCATACAAGTTACAACAATTGGTCTTTATTTTCCTGGAGCAACAGAGGAAGAAGGAGACAACAGAGGAAAAAGGAGAATTAGGAATAGGAGGAGAAAATGGAATGTGTGCCATGAAATCAGAAGAACTGGATGGTACCTGGCTACCATCACTGAAATTTTTTTTTTTATTGTGCCTTAAGTGAAGGTTTACAATTTAAGTTAGTCTCTCATACAAAAATTTCTACATACATTGTTATGTGACCCTAGTTGCTCTCCCTATACTGTGACAGCGCACTCCTCCTTTCCATCCCGGATTTCCCACATCCATTCAACCAGCTCCTGTCCCCCCCTGCCCTCCCATCTCGCCTCTGAACAAGAACTGATCACCTGGTTCCATGTATCTACCTGAGCCAAGAAGCACTGTCTTCATGAGTATCATTTTATGTCTTACAGCCCAGTCTAATCTTTGCCTGAAAAGTTGGCTTCAGGAACGTCCCTAGTTCTGGGCCAACAGTGAGTCAGGGGCCATGTCTTCTGTGGTTCCTCCAGTCTCAGTCAGACCACCAAGTCTAGTCCTTTCACTAGAATTTGAGCTCTGCACCCCACCCTTCTCCTGCTCCATCAGGGACTCTCTGCCGTGTTCCCTGTCAGGGCAGTCATTGGTGGTAGCCAGGCACCATCCAGTTCTTCTGGTCTCAGGCTGATCGAGTCTCTAGTTTATATGACCCTTCTGCCTCTTGGACTAGTATTTCCTTGTGTCTTTGGTGTTCTTCATTCTCCTTTGCTCCAGGTGGGTTGGGACCAATTGATGCATCTTAGATGGCAACTCACT